AGATAACTGAGAAGGGGAAATCCGATTGGACAAATGTGGAAACCGAGACGTGGGCCCTATGCCACGTGTCATATAAGGCGTGAACCACGGGATAATGCCTCTTCGAGTTTTGGAGAGGCCGCTTATTTGAACATTCGTACGAGCAAAAGATGCGACCGGTCTCATCACCAATCACATCCCACGTGCTTCAAGCTAAAAGGCATCCCATTCATTACAAAGCTTATAAACACCCTCGGCTCTAAACAATCAAAATTAGGACTCACTTCAAAAATTTCCTTAAAAATGGTTGTTTTGATGCGTAAATATTCTCAAATTGATCATCCACATCGAGATACATGGACATGATAAAAAATAGATTCTAAAGTTTGAAAATAGTGCATCTTCTAATGCATTCTTGGACCGTCAATTTTCAAGTTTTCATATATATGCTCGATCTTTGAAGCTTTAAATTTTTATAATTATGAAAATATATTTTAAGGCTCGCATAAATTTTTCTAGTATTGAAACTGCATTTCTCGACACTCTTTGAAGATAAGCTTTACTTTGATTGTTTAGAGCCGGATTGTATAAGACCGGTATCACAAATCACAATTATTTATGACCATACGTGAAATCATTCACAAAGTTCCATAGAATTTTGTTTTGAATCTTTGAGTTTGGTCAATGGAATAAATACAACCACCTAATGTTACATCTAATGGTCAAGATTAATTGTGACTACCTTGTACTAAAAGTAGATGGTCGCATGTAAAAATACTGACCCTTTAATAATTTATTTTTAAAATAAAATTTGATCCTAATTTTTAAGGAATATATAATCTTTAACATGGAGATTATAAGTCTGTAAAAATATATAAATTTTGGAAGCTTGAAATGTTAGTTTTTTGAAAAAATATTTGAACTATTGATTTTACTTTTTCTTTGGAGGACTATTATTTATGGGACCCGGTTTTGGTGGACGGTGTAGATCTCCAATCCCGCATAGTAACAGGTGCAGGCTTGGATGCACCAAACAATTTGTTTATTTTTTCCTAAGGTGTATTTCTTTATTGGGTGTGGTTTCTATACTGTTGCAATCTTAAACAATCCAATTAAGGTGCACCTCCAAATTTTATCATAACATGTAATTTTGGTGTAAAAAATTATTATAAGGTTGCAACCTTAAACAATTCAATTACTGTGCACCTCCAAATTTTATCATAACATGTAGTTTTGGTGTAAACAATTGTTAGGATTATCTAAAAATCTATTTTCATATCTAATTATAAATTTTTAAATTTTAAAAATAGTTAACATTAAGTAGATCTATAAACATAAGAAAATCTTGAAAATATACCGTCTAGATAAATATGTTGCAAGATGTTTCTAGGACTCAAAATTTTTTTTTTTTTTCATGTTCATACATCTCGATGTTGAGATGATCCATTAGAGTGTTTTTCAACGTTACATTAACCTTTTCTTATGTACATCTTTAATTCTACATTTTAAAGTTACAACCTTAAATAAACTTTTTTTTCAAATGTTCTCCTTTGTTTAAAGAAAGAATTGGCAATTACCAATTAGGAGTCAGTCCAGAATTATAAAGTACATTAAACAGTCACATGATGTCAAGGAAAAATATTACTCTCTCTCTCTCTAAATGATACTTGAATTCCACTTGTTTAGTACATAAGTTATTTAACATTTTAAGACTTATTTTGAACTTTCTCTCTCTAAAAAAAAAGAAAACGAAGCAAACATTATAGGAATATTTCAAACACACAGTCTCTCTCATCATCAAACATATCCCCACAAACACATACATGAACATGTATAAGTTGAAAGAAGAGCAAGATCTTGTCCACAAATACTACACAACTTCCAATTTTTATAATCCTTTATCCTTTAAAAATTATATTTCTATTCCTTTGTCTTAGGGTCTTCGTTTGAATGATGGCAACTTATATCATCTTAATCACGTGCTGCAAGTTTTAATTATTTGGATAATTTTGGGTAATTATCCATTACACTTTGTTATTTTTTTTAATAATTTTTTTAGTATTTTATATTTGAGAAAGTATAAAATGAGACCATTTATCTTTGGTACAAGATGGTCACATTAATCTTGCCCATTTGATGTAAAATTGGGTGGCTGTAATTATTCTATTGATCAATATCAAAAGAATTCTTTCGATCTTTATGACACATCCAAACTATCAAATTTCGCATCAAATGGTTATAAAGAATTGGACCACCTTGTATCAAAGGTACAATCTTTTTATATTTTATGTTTGTCTCAATGTTTTGAGAGCTATCTTCCATTTTAATTCTATTTTTTTGTAATAACTTGAATTAAGCTTAAAATTTGAGTCTCCGTACTTGTCGCCATCATGTACCTATGAAAAAATATATAAAAAAATATCAATAAAATAAGGGGACCAAAATATTGAGCATAATCTTGTGCATACAAAAATAAAATTAAAATAAAAAATATGCACTTCAAAAGTAGAATATGAACATAAATAATGAAACATAGAAGACATTTTTAAAGTCTACAAAACATAAAAAATATTTATGAAAATTGCCTCAATTGCCGCCCACAATGTTTAGTTAAGACAATCCTCATCTAATCATAAACGACTTTTCTTCAATTTTTCCAAATTTTAAAACTAACCAACATAACATTTTACTGAGCTCCTTACTTTTTATTTACTTTCTCAACTAAAACCCATTTTAAGATTACTCATCAAACTCGAAATTTGGAGATATAACCTCTTCAACTAATATGCTAACTCAATAAAAAAAAAAAGTTCCAAATTGCAAGTTAAAAAGTATAATGCCTCATGATTTGGTATAAACTTTTCAATTTTTGAAGGGTGAGATCTAAGTGTTTAAAAGTTCAAAATTCAATTTTTTTTTCTTCTTTTGAACATAATCATCTAGTAATTTTTAAGTAGTTATCAAAATTTCAGATCGAAAAAATCATTACAAGTAAATCTTATGCCCCAAGGAAGTAAGTGTAAATATGTTCCTTTTTTAAAAAAACAAGAAAGTAAGTGTAATTATGCTCTCCCATTATGTACAATCTAATGTGCCTATCCTAATTCAAAATAAATGCATAAAAATCCTTTTCATGTACGGAAAAAGTTTATATCAGCTTGCGACCTTAAAATGTAGAATTAAAGATGCAGCTAAAAAATTTATCGGAAAATGTTGTTTCAATGTTGGAAACTCTAATTGATCAGCTTGACATACAAAAAAAAAGAAGAGATTTTGAGTAGCATCTTGCAACATATTATCTAGATCATCTATTTTCAATATTTTCCTATATTTATAGATCTACTTGATTTTAACTATTTTTTTAGTTAAAAATTTTATAATTAGAGATGAAAATAAATTTTCAGATAATCCTAATACTTTTCTACTAAAAGTACGTGTTATGATAAAATTTGGAGGTACACTTTATTTAGATTGTTTAAGGGTGCAACCAAACCATTCATGTATTATTTAGGGTGATTTTAAAACCTTGAATACATGTAATATGGTCCATCACATTCCATCAAGATGTGCATCATTGAGTATATTATAATGAAATTAGGAGGGTGGACGTTTTCAGGTCTCAAGGGACACCACAGCAATCTACATCATAATTGTCCAAAAAGAATAATATGCTCCCTCGGATCGTGATATACATTTACTCCTTCGGGATTAGAAATATATGATTATTTTCAACAAAAACTTAGCATCTTAAACACTGAGAATTTACCTGCTTTGGATCTGAAACCTGAATTTCGAACTCTATCCGGATCCGGGTATGGATCCAAGATTTAGATCCAACAAGTCAGATCTAGATCCAAATTTTGGATATGAAAAATAATTTGAATGGGATATGGGTACAGGTGGATCCGATATGGATCTAACCTAGTTATTAAAATGTTATATATTATTACATAAGTATATTTTTGTTATAGATTATTTCGTAGATATAAATAAGATTATTTTATAGATATAAAATAACTTTATTGGGTCCGATTGGATCCGGATCCAGATCCCATGTGTACTTTATAGATTTGGGTTTGGATCCGAATATTATGGATTTGATCGATATATATTTTGGATCCAAATCGGGATCCCCATAGATCTAGAGCCAATCTAGGCCCTATCTAGATTGTTCCTTCCGAAAATTGGATGGTTCAAGTGAGAGTTAAATTCTTTTTCCTCAAATGATGATTTTCGATTACAAAAGGGCAAGCTTTTTATGTTTTTCTTACAACTTAGAAGTTTTATCTAACCGTCCATTCTGAATGGAGGGCTAAGATTGCCCCAATCACAATGTCATGTCTCTACACTATTTTATTTTTAATTTTTTTTTATAAACTATTTTGACACCATATTTTGGACATTCATTCCTCTATTAAACTCGCACTAACAAAAAATATTAAAAAAATACTTTTAATAAAATAAAATGACCAAAATATCCCTGAAAGCTTTAAGGGGTATTTTAGTCATTATATTTTATCAAAAAATTATTTGTTATATTTTTTGTAGGTTCGTCTCGAGAAAATGACAATACCAAATTTCATATTCATAAAATTTGTATAAAAAAAACTAAAAATAAAATACTTGGGATGCCAGATCTAATATCAAACGATAAGTAACTCTTTTGATCAAAATTAGACGGTTGGATGGCAGGGGGATGAAAGAACTTCTATGTTGTAGGGGACGCATATAAACCTTTCCCATTACAAAAATCACATCCCTAAAATTTGGGATCCAAAAATACTCCTAAAAATAGTTTTGTTCGACAGAATATATGGATACTATACTCCCTCGGGAGTAGGAATACGAAGCTTGCTGGCAGTTTAGAAACAAAGGTGAGAGGGATGATCGGTTGCCGCGAGATCCTTAGTCTAAACCTACCTACGCCTTGACACTTGTCAATAATAAATGGCGATAACTTATGTAAAGACTATACTGCCCCTGCACATCCAGTGTCTTGGGAAGGCATTTGGCAATGTCCCTTCACATGATCTAGCGTCAGTTTTGTCATTGTTCGGACATTATCCACCCTTCACTGACGTTTTTTTTTTTATACAAAGCTGGCACCTGCATGTAGAGAGAGAAAGCTCGAATCAATTTGTTGTTTCCACTCTCTCTCCTCTCTGCAAGAGGCCTGGTTTCCCTCGGAAGGGAGAAACTGCTGGAGGGGAGAGAGAGGGAATTTGGAGGAAAGAAAAACAGTGGAAGACTTAGAGAGAGAGAGAGAGACCAGAGGGCTAATGGCTCTGCTTTCGTCATCAGATGCGGCGAATTTGAGGACCCCAATGGAGGAGGAAGAAGATGAGGAGAAAGACCCAGAAAGCGACAACCTTCATCGACCCTTGCTCAAACGCGTTCGCACTTCGCAATTGGCGCTTATCGGAGCGAAATTATCCCCAATTGAGAGCTTGGACTATGAGTAAGCAACCCTCTCTCTCTCTCTCTCTCTCTCTGTAATTCTGTCTATCTCATCTGATTTGTGGGTTTTTTTCTGCAAGGATAAATGAGAATGACCTGTTCAAGCATGATTGGAGAAGCCGTTCGAGGGTTGAGGTTTTGCAGTATATAATCATGAAATGGACATTTGCATTCTTGGTTGGTCTTTTGACTGGCTTGGTTGCAGTCTTCATAAACTTTGCTGTGGAGAATATTGCAGGGAGAAAGCTTCTCGCTGTTTCTCATATGGTGGACCAAAAAAGTTGAGTTTTACAGAGTAACTTTTCCTTTTCAACTTGCTTTGTTGTTTTAGAGAGAGAAGAAGAGTTGGATCTTCTGAGAATTTGATCAAGAAGTAGAAACTGCTTTGTAGAAAGAGAAAATAAGTATTTAGGGTTCAATTTTACGATTTCGGGAACTCCCTTGTGTGATTTTCACAACAATTTTGGTGTGGGGAGATAGCGTTTTGCTGCGGAGAGATGGCATTTTAACCGATTGGTGTGAAAAACTCTCACACTTAATACGAATTTTTTCAAGTTTATTTTTACGAAAGTATTTTCACCAGTATCAAATCGGCCCTTACGTTGGAAAATTACAACTAAAGAATGGACTGCCTTGTTGGGTTTTTTTTCTTTTTTATAGTGGAATATTAGAGGAAAAAAATGAGTTCTAGATGGAAGACATAAATTGGTTCGTTTTCTTAGATCATTTGATTATCAAAAGAGAAATGGAGGTAAAAATTTGTAATTTTGTAGAGTTTGGTTTTGTTATTATGAATCATTTGAATGTTGTTTGAGGGGGGGGGAAAAGTCTCATAAAAAGGGTGGTTAAAAAAAATTGCAGGTTCTGGTCGGGATTGATATTTTTCACAGGGGCAAATTTGGGGCTGACCATGGTGGCTGCTGCCCTTTGTGTGTGCATAGCACCCACTGCTGCCGGGCCTGGAATTCCGGAGATCAAGGCTTATCTCAACGGCATTGACACCCCCAACATGTTTGGTGCCCCAACACTTATTGTAAAGGTATTCTATCTCTCTCACAAATCCCTCTACTCTAGAGGTGGCAAAGCGGACCCGACTTGACCCCGGTACCTGGACCTGGACCTGATCTGGGTCTGGGTATTGGTTTAAAAATTGGACTGGGTAAGTTGGGTCTCGGTCAAAATTTTGAACCCAAACACTATTTGGGTGATAATATTTTCCGCGTCTCAATATATGAAATAGATTTAAATATATCGATATTTTAATTTTTAGATTTGATCCGGGTTTGGATCCCATATCATTTTTTGGGTCCAGACTTGCCGCGACCCGTTGCCACCCTTACTTTACCCTTTTCGTCTAGGGTTGGCAACAGGCTGGAACCGGGCCACCCCAAGCCTTGTCCCCTATAAGTACCTCAGCAGGCCAAAGTGACCTAAGCCTAGGCCTAGGCCCACCCTAGCCCTAATAGGGCCAGGCCAATTGTCATTGAAGAAAATAAAGGAAAAAATAAAAAACAAAAAGGCCAAATTGAGTTGGCCATGGCCCAGCCTGGCCTAGCCCTACCCTCAGGCCACAATGACCCGCCCTGGCCTAGCCTTCGAGCTACATTTTGTGGCCTAGCCCTACCCTCGGGCCACAATGACCCACCCTGGCCTAGCCTTTGAGCTACATTTTGTGGCCGAAGCTCTAGTTTTTTTAGGACCAAGCCCGTTGGGCTGAGTCGAGCCACCTACCCGATTGCCTCCCCTATATATCAAGGTCATGTCTTTTCTCTTTCGCACTTTACACGTCTTTAGTACATACTTATTGTGATCCCCAATGTTGGAAAGAGTGACTCACGCCAGGTACTCGGCCTAGGCACAAGTCCGCGTAGCTGCCTTGATTTGGGCGGTGTTGGCTACAAAAATGTTAAAAAAAAAATTTATTAAAAAAATTTAAAAAATAAAATACTCTTTAAGTAAAATCAAACAAAACATATCTAAATGAGGTTAAAAAGGTAGTGAAAATTGGATTTTGAGTTAATCAATTTGTGATTGGAGTATTTTAGAAATAAATTAAAAAAAAAAAATGTAAAAATAAATATTCAACACCAATATAATTTGTAATTTTGGCAAATAATAGAAAATATAAAAAATTAAATTACTAAAACATAGAAAATCATATTCCTAGTAAATTTCATATTTTAAATTTTTTTTATAATTTTTTAGAAAAATTTTAAAATCACCGAGTTGGACACTGAAAGCCAAAGTTACTGGGGCTGGTTCGAGGCGAGCCGGTCCGCTCCAAGAAATGCTCCATTGGACCTGCCCGCTGTCGACGTGGCTTTTCAAGTGGAACACTCTCCTTATACTTTCTCACACAAAACACTTTTAGGCCAAGATAAGCCAGTGCAAAGACATAATTATTTTGCCCCTCTCTCTCTCCACTTGGATCTCCCCCTCCCTTTCTCTCTCTACAAATTGACCAAATTGTAAGGCTCCCTTTGTTAAAGATCAATGGTATGGTCTTTAATAAAGTATAATAGCGACATACTAAATTTTGTGTAGCCGATTTTAATTAATAAAAAAATTTATTTTATCCAATTATTTTATTAAATTTTGTGTTGCTGATTTCAATTAATTGAAAAAAATACTCTATCCAATTATTTCACATATATAAAACATGGGCCAACACAAACTTAAATTCCTCTCCTAAAATAGAGGTCACCTCTCCTTACTCTTCATGAGGAACAATTTGAGGGTAAAAACTTCTCTCTTTTTGGTCTTGACATGTATCGCTTGCTCATCCTTATACTCTTTACGGGACAGCAGCTTTGTCTTTTTCATATGGACAGGTTTTTATAAGGTACACGGTTTCTATGTGGCCAGCCTACATATTATAGAACTGCAGGATTGGCAATAAATATATTTTTAAAATATAATTTGATCTTAATTTTTAAAGAATATATAATCTTTAACATAGATACTATGAATATGAAAATAATTTGAAAACTAAAAATAATAAGTATATTAAGAAAATATTTAGACAGTTAGTTACACTTGTTTTTAGATGGACCACCTATTTGCATCCAACTTTAAAATAGATGCTTTATACTTTTGGACGGCATATTATAGAAATCTGTTCCAGTCCACATGACATAATTTTCTTGTTACAAGTCCATGTAGAAATGAATCACCTCTTAAATATTTTTTAGATGAATTTTTTGATCTAATTTTTAAATACATATAATCTCTAACATGGAGATCAAGAATATGAAAAAATAAATAAAATTCAAAAATTAAAATAATAATTCCTATTAAAAAATTTATTTGGACTGTCAGTTTCAATTGTTTTTAGATGGACCACCTATTTGAATTCATATTTAAGATGGATGCTTTATACTGTAAATGTAGAAATGTGGTCCCCACCGCATGAAACAATTCTCCTTTTCGTATAGTATTAAAAATACTAATTATAAAATCAGCCATTTGATAGCATTTATACACCGTTTAGAAAGGATGAGAGGTGAGATTTTAGTCGATATTAAGCATTTTTATGAGAAAATTTTAAAGGAAAAAATTGAATTGTGTAAGTTTTTTAAATGTGAAATAAAGAAAACACATATTAATAACTATAGATCCGTAATTGATTTTACATAAAAAAACAACATATGCATTACTTCGTTCCAAAACCATGCATGTTATGCACCAATGGAGTTGCACTACAGTGTTTGATTTTTTTTCTCTAGAATAAATAACTCACTAGATCGCTCTTACTATAGAGCACGTATACTAAGCTCCTTCGAGATTATAATTTCCTTCTACTCCCTCGGTCAGGAGCCTTATTTGGAGGATTTTTTCAATCTAAAATTTTGGAAACCATTTAAAAATTATTAAATGATTCACCATCTAAAAATTGGAGGGTCTCTATTCAATCTTGAGACATTATTGTTTTCAATTGTATAGTGCAATTAAGAATTTTTTTTATTTTTATATTGAAGTTAATCTATAGATATAACATATTACATCGCTAAAATTTAGGGTCTTAAGATTAATGCTAAGTGAGATTTTACGTGAGAGAGTAAATGGACATTCTACTCGTGAGAAGTAGAATATCGTTTATAAGAAGCCATTTTCAAGTCCATCTCTCTCTCCATTAATAAATAATGTGATAAGTCTCTTTCTCAGTTTCAAAGTTTTATTAAAAAAAGATAGTGAGTCATTAATTCTCTTTCAATTAGATAAGGGGTTCTATGGATAAGGGGATAGGTCTCCATCTTTGCTTCTCTTTTTGTAATTTGACCTGAGCACACTACTGTTGCACCCTGTTTCTCTTCTGTGGGACTATGCTGTGAATTTACTCCCTCACCCAAAACATTTAGGAACATTTTTTTAGTCGAAATTCTGGGAACCATATAAGAATTATTAGATGATTATTTTTAAAATAAAAAAATTTGAAATTGGAGTTTTCTGACATTTAGATCTAGCCTTTCAATAATTGGACGGCCTCGATTGAATATTGAAGCACTAGTTTTTTCCAGTATACAGAGAGTTTATTTGGGAATTTTTTTGAACTGAAATTAGTGCATGGGTTGTAGAGATTACATCCTCAGGTTTGAGATATAAAAAGTATCCCGTTTTGCCGGTGGGAGTAAATGGTTAGTATACTCCGGTGTGCGTGGAAAGACTTTTGGCTTTAGCCATTGGCCAGTTGCACGGTCCATAGAGCCGTGGAAAATCTATGACTATTAGTGTCATCGCCGTCCAATGAATGCTTGAACGGTCTTGAAGATAACGTGGGCCCATTTATAGTTCCCAATCTCCTGTATCTCCACCTGATGTATCCATTTAATCAGACTTTGTAGCCTGTTACTTGCACTCTGGTTTGGAATTTGGACAACTAATTGGGGTGTATGATGATCAAGAAAGGGAAAGAGTAGCTTATATGCACCGTGCCTACCAGTAGAGAGTATGATATACCGGCTTGGCACCCCATATTCATGGTCCCGGTAAACCACTGCCAATCAGTGCTTAGAGACTCACCTCAAGCCAGGTACTCCACCCTAGCCCGAGGTGAGTTTGAATGGACTAACTCAAGGAAAAAATAAAAAAATATTGAAAATTAAATGGAAATAGTATAGGCCAAATAAAACCAAAAAAAACTTAAAAGGTCCAAAATAGCTTAAAAAATATATAAAATATGGACTTCAAAAAAATTTGATTTGTAGTTGAGACATTTTAAAAATCCAAAAGAAATAAAAATAGACTTCATGACAAAAAAAAATTCATCAATCTTGGCCAATAACATCCAAGTTTTATATAGAAAAAATCTATACATTACTCCTATAATTTTATATATTTTATTAGGATTCCTTTTCATATTTTAATATACTGCAAGTTGTACTGAGTTACTCAGGGTAACTTGGCTCGCCGGAGTGACTCGGCTATGTCTGAGTGGCCTTGGCCGAGTCTCCAAACGCTGCTGCCAATGCTGTTGTAAATTATCCTACACTCGATTGGGACTATTGAACGATACCTTTTTTTTCTTTTTCCCATAAACACTGATAAAGGCTTCTACTAGTGGAGCGTATAGCACCTTTTTTTTCCCTCACATTTTCGAAGTTCATTAATAAAACCAGTGTTTGAAAGTACAAAAATGGGACTTGAATTGCCAGGTGACCTTTTCGATTCAATTCACGCAGTTCAAATCAGAGGGATTCCCTAGTTAAATCAATGTCTTGAAAAAATAGAAAAAAAAAAAACCCAATAATAAAAATCGGGAGGAATAGGGGGTTCCAGGGCTCTTTAGAGGAAGATTTCCCCCTCTTAAGGCCGATCTTGAGTTGACTCGATGATTTTATAAACATTGATTTACAAATGGAAAATGCATTATGGTGCCATCATCTTTAAAGAGATTGAAGAAACTATATCAACCAACATAACCAACAAGATTGGGCTTTAAAATGATAATTTTATCCTTGAACTAAGAAGTCTCTAAGAACTCAACCGTCTCACTATAATTGGATTTGGAATATATACAGATAATCGGGAGCATTGCAGCTGTCTCAGCAGGGCTGGATCTGGGGAAGGAAGGGCCACTGGTGCACATAGGCTCATGCATTGCCTCCCTTCTAGGTCAAGGGGGGTCGACTAGGTACCACCTCACCTGGAAGTGGCTTCGGTACTTCAAGAATGATCGTGACAGGAGAGACCTTATCACTTGTGGCTCGGCTTCTGGCGTCTGTGCTGCTTTTCGAGCTCCAGTTGGTGGCGTCTTGTTTGCACTTGAAGAAATTGCAACTTGGTATGCGTAGCTACTCTATATTTTTTATCTGCATCTCTTTATGAGCAAATGTGGTGTTTTTGAGCCGATCCCGAATAGTTAGGATAAGGCTCAGATGATAATGATGCCTTACCGGGCAAATACGATATTTTGGTCCATATGGACTTAGAAAACTGATGCACTGGTGTCATGACCATGCAATCGGTAAATGAAAACAATGGAGAGAAATGTGGGGATCCAACTTAGTTCCCTGATTCCCTTACCACTCAATGCATCGGTAGAACAGTGATGGCACTTCTGATCCTATATTTCCTATGATTGTATGGATCAACACTCTCCATTCATCGGTCGGATGCTGAAGACACCTATGACCATATAGTTCTTGTGAATGTACGAGTCAACACTCTCCATGCATCGATTGGATGGTGATGGCACCTATTACCAGATATTATATTGTATTGATGAAATTATGCTTTCATACTATTTCCTAGATTCAATATTCATGTGGTCATGGCTCATGAGACAGATGTTTGGGTTTGGTTTGAAGGTGGAGGAGTGCTCTCTTGTGGAGGTCCTTCTTTAGCACAGCTGTGGTGGTGATGGTGCTGAGAGGTTTCATGGAGTTCTGCAGGAGTGGGCACTGTGGTCTTTTTGGAAAGGGAGGGCTCATTATGTTCGATGTTAGCGATGTGACTGTGTCCTATCACCCCATGGACCTTCTCCCTGTCGTTGTTATTGGCATCTTTGGTGGTTTCCTTGGCAGCCTCTATAATTACCTCCTTCATAAGGTTCTTCGTGTCTACAACCTCATCAATGAGTGAGCGTCCCTCCCTCTTCTCTCACAAAAAAAAGGTTCCAAAATAACTGACTTTAACTGAAAAAAGCATACTTATAATGCCAATAGCCCCACCTGTCCGGGAAAAGGGCTGGGGTCACGGTGGTAACACCCCCACACTCTAGTCACCATTGTGGTTTTCATCATACCACCACCCCCACACTCTAGTCACCGTTGTGGTTTTCATCATACCACCATCCCGGCTGATACCACCCCACTAGCGCCTTCAAAAAACCAAGTCTTAAACTATTTGAAAAAGGGGGTAGGGCCTGTCTTTCCCCACCCACTGAATTACGACAAAATAAATAAAAATAGCCCCACCCATTACGTTATTTAAATGGGGAGTATAAATTGGTAGTTATACTAAAATAATTGGTCTTTTATCATGCAAAATAACGGCCATTGCCTGATGTTAACTACTGTTATGGGGTTGAGCTTTTCAAACTAAAACAGAAGGAAAATGAAACAAGCATTACTCTCCGTTCAAAAAACAAACAAGCATTACTCTGAAATCAGCATCCATTTAAACGACTGTTATTTGAAATCAGAGTGTCATATATTTGAAGAAATGAATTAGCATTTAGAGTTCCTTTTTTAAATTTTTGTTATTTTTGATTTTTTTTTCTTTTCCCAAATTTCACTGCAGAGTACTGTTACCTGAAGGTAATGAACCGATTTGTATGACTGTAATGTCCAATTTTGGTTTCTTGATACTTGCACACAGTACCTGTAAAGAATAAAGATTAGTAATTTGGAGAGAGATGAAATGTATGCATGTTTCAGGAAGGGGAAGCTACACAAATTTCTACTAAGCGTCTCAGTATCCCTGATCACCTCCTGCTTCCTCTACTCCCTCCCTTTCCTGGCCCCTTGTACCCCCTGCGACCCCTCGATCTCCGAACCCTGCCCCACCACTGGCCGCACTGGCAACTTCAAGCAGTTCAACTGCCCCCCGGGCCACTACAACGACATGGCCACCATTCTCCTCTCTACCAACGATGACGCAGTTCGCAACATCTTCAGCACCTCCACTCCCTCGGAATTCCTCACCCTCAGTCTCATCATAGCTTTCTTGCTTTACTGTTTCTTAGGCCTCGTCACCTTCGGTATTGCTGTCCCCTCTGGCCTATTCCTCCCTATAATTCTGATGGGATCCTCCCTTGGACGCCTCCTTGGCCTCTCTATGTCACAATACACTCGCATCGACCAGGGCCTTTTTGCAGTGCTCGGTGCTGCATCGCTGATGGCGGGATCCATGCGAATGACCGTATCGCTATGTATAATCTTCCTTGAACTCACGAACAACCTTCTACTTCTTCCAATGATGATGCTTGTTCTCTTGATATCAAAAACAGTCGGGGATTGCTTCAATCCTAGCATATATGAGATTATACTGCATTTGAAGGGTCTTCCTTTCCTGGAGGCACATGCAGAGCCCTGGCTGCGTAATATAAGCGTCGGAAATCTCATTCGAGCAAAGGAGGAGATTGTGAGCCTTAGTGGGGTTGAGAAGGTGAGTCAAGTACTCGCAGTCTTGCGCAACACAACGCATAATGGGTTTCCTGTGGTCGACATGCCACCGATCTCACCAGTCCCAGAGCTCCATGGGATGGTATTGAGAGCCCATTTGTTGGAAGTTTTGGAGAAGAGGTGGTTCTTTAGAGAGAGGAGGAGGTCATCAGAGGAGGAGGTGACAGAAAGGTTCTCGTCATGGGACCTCGCAAAGAGGGGACGGAAGATTGAGGACGTGGTGGTGAGCGAGGAGGAGGAGGAGATGTACATCGACTTGCACCCATTCACTAACATGACTCCATATACAGTGATGGAGAGCATGTCAGTGGCAAAGGCAGTCGTGCTTTTCAGGCAGGTCGGGCTCCGGCACATGCTTGTCATGCCCAAGTCGCAGGTGGCTGGGGTAAGTATCAAAATAAGTGTATTCGTGTATGTCTTTGTGTGCGCACGTGTGTGAGAAAAAGAGAGATGGCTTGTTTGATATGTGTGTGCGTGAGAGAGAGATCATGACCAGAATGCTTTAAACTTGTGCAGGGTTCACCAGTTGTGGGGATCTTAACTAGGCAAGATTTGATAGCCAACAATATAAAGAGCGCCTACCCTCACCTTTTAAGAAGAGGAAAAAGCAGACACTCCCTATCCTAAACAAGAAGTGAAGGGCAAGTTCCTTGAGGGAACATCCATTTATTTTATCATTTTTGCTGAGTTATTGTATTCTTTACAGCATGTCTTGTATTTGAGGCATCGATGAAAGCTTGAACATTTTCTAGTTTTTTCTCAATAAAATATCTATTTTGAGCTTTGTGGTGAAATGGCGTAGGAAAATATACTTTTTCAAATACTTTTGAGGGGTAATAAAATGTACCAACAATTCTTCTATTTTCAAGCATAAAACTTCATTATTACATGATAATATTTGTCTCTTACCGATAAATATTTATGGTTTAAAACCATGGCATATGACAAATTATCCCATAAAAAGCACTTGTGGGGTGTCCTAGAGATCGAACTACAAAAGGATCACACCATCCAAACCTCGGTAGAGGATCCAAGTCAGCTCATTCTTCCACATTTTCTAGCAAACCCACATCTTAGATGATCCAATGAAACCACTATGTAGAAGGCAAAATATATGTAGAGGACCAAGTTAGCTCACTGTCCAGGACTCATGACATGCCTAAGTGAGACCAAGAACCAGACTTAAAAGAGTCCAGTTTAGCCACCCCTCTCGGGTTGACCCACAAAAAGCGTAAGAACCCCTAGAAGTCAATAAAGCCATGTCTCAACAGTTTAAGGCATACCATATTCAAGAAAGTCGAAAGAGGAAGAACCCCTCGAATCCAATAGGGGCAGGGGCAATGAGCACACCCTAAGGCAAAGAAGATCCTCTCCCCAATAGGGGCAGCCTCACCCAACGATGATATAATAGGGGCTGCATGTGAGGTTGAGGCTTCATCCTATGTACCACATGGCATTGTGTTTGAATGCGCCTGAGGAATTACAATTTAAACTAGTGTTTAAAATTTGGAAAAAGTTTATATATAGAACTACGGATGCACTTCAAAAATCGATCAGAAAAAGTAGTTTTAATGTTTAAAAACCCTTTGATTGATCATTTCGACATCGAGATGTATGACCATGAAAAATAAAAAGATTTTAAACAATGGTTTAAAAAACAAATCGGTGCTCTAGATCGGTGAATCGGCGATCTGGATTGAGAATTGACCAAATCGATCGGATTAAGCTTTAAAAAAATTTCAAAAAAATTATTAAAATTCATTATAAATATTCTTTTTCAATAATCCAATAAGAAATAGGGGTACTACATTATTAACTTTTATTTTTTTTCATCAATATGTGAATATTGAGATGTTCTTTCACTGTATGAACTTATGTTAACAATTAAATTTGCATCACACAAAAGAAAAATCATAGAATTATCATGGATGAGGTATATAATCATACATGGACTATAATAAAGAATAGATTAAATCGATGAAAAAATGGTCACTAAATTCTTGAAGCGGCGGAAAACCCTAATCCACTAAAAATCCAAATTATTACAACCTAACTAACATTAATCCAAAATTATTACAACCTAACTAATATTAATTCAAAATTATTATGACCTAACTAACTATAATCTTATATACTTAAATTGAAATTGTTGGTTTACATTTTATAATTATTTTACAATACAAATAATAACAAAACCAAAATATCTTATACTATCATCTAATTTAAAATATATTATTGATAACTGTAAGAAAAAAATAGTAAGTTACATAATTTATAATGAAAATAAATTAGTAAATAAAATATAAGATTTAGTTATCAATGTAGAAATTATTAGAATGCGTACCAATTTTAAAAATTCTAATTTTTTAGGTTTCAAAAATCAATTTTTTTTAAAGTTTCTAGAATAAACGCAGCTCAAATGCGTGCTTAAAAAGCATGATACTTGTTGTATTACTTTTATTTATTTATTTTACAATAATACTTGTTGTATTACTTTTTCTTTTTTTTACAAGAAAAATAAGAAGATGGCGCTGCCCAGGTAACTTTAATTTTTTTGAACTTTTATTTTTTGTCATAAATTTTATTTTTTTGCCAAGGTAATTTTTTTTTTTAACATAAATATTATTTTTGTCATAACTATTATATTTTTGTCAAGTTAATTTTTATTTTTTCGTCAAGGTAACTTTTACTTTTTCTACAAAAAAATATTTTTTTGTCAAGATAACTTTTATTTTCTTTTTATAACTTTTATTTTTTTGTCAAGGTATCTTTTTTTTTATATATATAAATTTATTTTTTTGTCAATGTAACATTTTTTTGTCAAAATAACTTGTATTTTTCTTTGTCAAGGGAATTTTTATTTTTTGTTTTGACA